ATATACGAGTGATATCCTTCCAACCAGTAATTAGAAGGATGTATCGGGAAATACCCGTTTTGATCAATATCATATGAATTTGCATACCGTCCATATTCAAGAACTTCGTAAAGAGTATTTTCGTTTTTATAAACATAATCATAAAATGTCAAATTTGGATCTATTTCCTTTAACGATTTGAACTGAATGCTTTCAAGTTTTGCAACAGCATCTGTAGCTTCGTAAATCCTTATTTTAGAATTATCAAGGTTTTCATTCACTTTTCTAGTTTCTCTATTATAATTCTCATCAGATAAAGAGCAATCAAGGTTTTCATTCACTTCTCTGAATTTACTTTTGTCACAAACTAAAATTTTAGTTTCTTTTGTATAATTCTTATCGGATAAAGAGTATTCTTCATTGCATTCAAGGTTATCAAGCTTGTTTACGTATATTAATGGTAATAAATTGTCATTGAGTTTATCTTTAGTTACAAAATCATAAATTTGATGATTCTCATTTGAATCGAAGTTGAAATAGTATTTGATTTTCGTATTGGATGTATTGGAATGTCTAATTAGAACTTGGAAGTCTGAAATGTCGATTTCTGAGATGTTATGCCTATGATCTTCGAAAAAATTAAAAATATCTTCTGGCAAATACTTTCTTTTCTCTGAATCTCTGTATAACTTGAATAAGCAATTAAATATGTCATTAACTTCTGTAGAATACTTTTGAGTAAAAGTAAATTTGAAATTGTCAGGAATTTCGGCTTCTTCTATTGAGAAAACGAAGTCAAATACTCGAGATTTTACAATTTGGAGATGTAGCATGTAATCAAAATCGAAAGTTAATGGATATCCAGTTCTATAAATTCCATATAACTCTTTTTCGTAGACATAGCCCTCTGATATTGGATTATCAATGTTAACTCGAATACTTATTTTCATTTTATGCATTTTATCGTTGGTTCCCCAGGATTTATCGTTTTCAGAACTAAATACTTGAATAAAAACTGCGTTTTGCTCTCTAGAAGCATGATAGTACAAAATTGGTTCATTGCATAGCTTATACATAGCAATTTGACTATTATCATTACGTTCTAAGTAAAATTGAAACTTAACTTCAACCATTTTTGATTTTTTGATGGAAAATTAAAAAATAAAAAAAAATCAAGGGCATTTTAAAACATCTAATTTCCATATGTATATAATCAAGCAAGCCTTCGTTGGGGCCATGCAACAGAACATAGCAATCTATGCTTTGTAATAGGATGTTAACTCGAATGACACCTCTTTGGATTGATTATATTTTACAATTTTAGTAAATATCGTTATAAACTATTCACAGTAATAGGATAGCTAATATAATGACTAAAAATATGAATTACATTTACAGAAACATACAATAGAAAATCAAATTTTGATTCGATAGTATCCAGCCAAAATTTTTGTTAGATAATCAGATATATAAATCGCATTCTAATGATTAATCCACAATTGAAATATACAGTAAATCGGCTACTACGATTTTTGTATGAAGATTAAATTGCGATATTAAAATGCATTCATGCAGTTTTACAGAAGTGATTTGACTTCACTTACCAAATAATATTTGTTTGCCAAACAATTACTTGGATTTCATGAGGGTCATATTGAAATTTTGAAACTTTATCATACTGTTATTGTTTGATATCATAATCAATAGCCATTACGAGGCATTTACGAAGACACTTAGATATATTTATTCTATTGATTTGCTGTTGTAGAAATAAAATCATTATTAATTTACCTGAAATTTATATGGTATAACGTGTTATAGTAAATGTCTGAAATATATTTCAATGCAATTATTAGATATTTTATATTTTTAAATTATAGTTTTTATAAAAAAATATATAAATTCATAATATATATATAGTAATTTTATTCAACAGATTGTGGCTGTGCCTTCATAAGGGCGCCAAAGAATTCGATTGACTGTAATCCGAGGACATTATCACCTCTGTAGTTAACATCAGTCATTTTAAGCCTTACGTATCTGAAAGCTCCAGCATTATTCGTTATTGGGAATGTCTGGAACTTATTTGCTCCGTTCAGAACACTTGTTGTTCTTCTGTCGAGTTTTGTCCATTCGTCGCCATCATTCGAGCCTTCGATTACCCAGTTCTTTAAATGAGTCGAATTTCCTGAATATTTATGTGTCTTCAGGGAATAATGAGATAAGCAAACGACATTTTCTCCGAAATCAAACTTAATCCATTGGCCAGGTTTGTTTTCGGATAAGAAAAAGTCTGATGGGTCTCTTGCGGCAACTAATGATGGAGTTTCGTGGTCAATTGAAGATGATGTGATTGTAACCGAATGTTTATCATGAACATTGCCTTGGCAGACATCTGTAAGATAAGCAAGTATACCATCGAACGAATGGCCGGCGAAAGGAAGCTGTACTGAGTCTGTAGGAAGAAATGCGTCGCCTTTGAGGGCTTCTTCGATTTCTATCTGTTTCTGTAGTACGGAACGTATTGAGCGACGCATTTCTCTCGATTCGTTCTTGAGAGGATCAATTCCGGATTCGACAGATTTTAATTTGTCGAGAGCTTCTTTGAAATGAGAGGTTTGGGCACGATCTTGTTTCTTGATTTTGGACTCTAAATCTGTAATCTTCTTAGCAACACCGTCTGCAAGCATTGCTAGCTTCTGATCGACATGTTTATCGAGATTTGCATTGATCTTTGCAGTTTTTTGAGACGCTCGTGGTATGTTCTTTTCGATGCGATTCTCAATGACTTGAAATGCTTGATTGATTCTTGAAAATTCGTCTGCAAAATTGTATTGTTCGATATCTTCAAGACGACTAGAAAGAATGCTCATTTGCTTCTTTAAATCGTTACTTTCTTTGATAAGATGTATACATACGTTACACGCTGATTCGCCAATGCAATGTTTATCAAGATCATTGTTTTCCAAAACTTCTAAAGCTTCTCTAGGAGTAAGACGACTTAAATCTAATGTAGAGAATAGTGAAGACGCTTTCTTTCCATGTTTTGAAAGTAATTTTAATAGAAATCTTTGTAAATTGTGATGATCTTTAATTCGTAATTTTGGATTGCTGAATATTTTTTCTAGTTTTTCAAGCTCAAAATCTGCAAACGACGGATTGGATATAGCTGCATCAATCTGGCTTGCGAAGTTATCTTCTAAATCATTCATTTCAAAATAATAAACAAAAAAAAGTGATACATTATTTAGTGCGTATTACTCACAAATCAATTCAATAATTGTGTTAATACGGATACAATAATAAAAACAATGAAAACATAAATTCTATCTATGGCATTTGCTATTTCCATCACATGTGTAGTTATCCTTTCAGATTTTTAAATAATTATGCAGTAAAACTTTCAATTGAGAATTTATTTCTAATTTGAGCACATATTGATGAAAGGAGGAACTAATATGGCAGTATAATCTTATGTGATCTTAAAATGTTATTTCAAGCATTATATTTTTTGCTGATATTAGATTTTGAAGAAGGTAAAGGGAACATTTCATAAAAATGTTACACTGGGATGAGGTTTGAATTATTCCAAATAATGAAGGTGTAAGTTCTATCTTTGTGGTGTAAACTATACAAATTTGAAAGATTTATTTTTATCGGACTTTTCAAAAAATTCGATGAATCCAGAAGAATTTGAATCTCCCATGATAAAAGCATGCAAAAAAGATATCTTTCACTTATTAAATCACTATTAAAGCATTACAGTGATAACAAAGTAAAAAAATTAGGCATCCCACTCATTATTGCATCAACATATGGTCATCTTGAAGTCGTTAAACATTTTATCTCGATTGGAGTTTATATAGAATCAAGGAATGATAATCGAATGACTCCGCTCATAGTTGCATCAAAGAATGGTCATCTTGAAGTTGTCAAATATCTTATCTCAGCTGGAGCTAATAAAGAAGCAAAGGATAAAGATGGGTTCACTCAACTCACAAATGCATCAGTGAATTGTCATCTTGAAGTCGTTAAATATCTTGTCTCAGCTGGGGCTGATATAGAAGCAACGGATAAATTTCAATTTACTCCCCTCATTGAAGCATCAAAATTCAGTCTTCTCGAAATCGTACAGTATCTTGTCTCTGCCGGAGCTAATAAAGAAGCAAAGGATGATTGGGGACGGAATTCACTCATATGTGCATCAGAAAATGGTCATCTTGAAGTTGTTAATTATCTTGTCACTGTTGGAGCTAATAAAGAAGCTAAGGACATGCAAGAATTCACTCCTCTCGTTTATGCATCAAAAGAAGGTCATCTTGATGTTGTTGAATATCTTATCTCTGTTGGCGCTAATAGAAAAGCAAAGACTAGATCTAAGTCGAATCCTCTCATTTGTGCATCAGAAAATGGCCATCTTGAAGTTGTTAAATATCTTATCTCTATTGAAATCGATAAAGAATCAATGAATGATAGTAGATCTACATCACTCAATTATGCTTCAGGAAATGGTCATCTTGAAATTGTGAAATATCTTATCTCTGTTGGAACTGATAAAGACGCGAAGAATAAGAATGGATACACATCGCTCATGTCTGCATCACATAATGGTTACCTTGAAGTTGTTAAATATCTTATCTCTGTTGGCGCTGATAAAGAAGCAAAGAATTTTTCTGGAAAAACTGCCCTTGATTTAGCAGCTGGTTTGGTGAAAAATGATTTATTATCATTATAATGGTTTATAAATTTTCTTTTTTCAAAAAAAAGTGGTATTTACTGAAGTCAATATAATAAAACAAACTACTATTTAGGTATAATTAGATTACATTATGATTTGTATGAGTGATGTTTTGACCTCTAATGATGTGAAAATCTCCCAAACATATTGAGCTTCTCTATTATCTCTATCTATTCACAAAGTGTTTTTTTCGGGCCAAAAAATTTACACGAGAGCGGAGACAGTATCATTGGGCATAGTCCGGAGAATAGATTTCATTGTTTTGTTGACGACAAATATTAAAAAATAAAACAAAATTTACATAAATAAAACAAATAACACATATTAAAAAAAGTTAATGAGGAGGGAATTTCTTCAAAATATCCATGATCTGTTGCATTCTAACTGGTTTAGCCAGATATCCATCCATTCCTGCTTCTCTGCAAGTCAATTCATCACCTTCAACTGCACTAGCTGTAAGAGCAACAATAGCAACAGTTGAGTAGTGTTTTCCTGAACGGCGAATGATTTTTGTTGCATCAATTCCGTTAAGAACAGGCATCTGGCAGTCCATGAACACCAAATCGAAATTGTCTTGTCCTAGAATCTGAATTGCTTCCTGTCCATTGTTTGCAATGACATAGTCGCAATTTAGTTTCTCCAGAATCTTCTGCATGACGAACTGGTTCTGTTTGTTATCTTCAACAACCAAAATACGACGGCTTTGGTCATCTCTGTTTCCAACAATCAGATTTGTATTTACAATGTCATGTTTGTTGTATCTCAATGAGTTCAACAAATGAAGGACATGTGTTGGAATTACAGGTTTAACAAGTGCGTATTTAAATGGCGAACATTCACCAGGATCGCAGAAAGAGCAAACAGGGAATGGCTTCTTTTGGCTGCTGACAACTTTACTTATGTCATTCCATTCAGAGTTATTTCCTTCTACGAAAAGTAGGAAAGGATGTGACTTAGAACTCTGTTCAGCAATGTCTTGCGATGAATTAAGATAAACAACTTTGTAATGATGCGATTCAAGCCATTCTGTCAAGCTGTCACGCAACTGTGTGTTGTTTATCAGCATCCAGACAATGCGAGGCTGGTTGTCTGTGAAAGGAGGAGAGTAAGGAAGCATCAAAGATTGCATTGGAATCCTAACAATGAATGTTGATCCTTCTCCAGGAGTTGATTGCACATCGACATTTCCTCCAAGGAATCTTGCAATCTCTTGGACTAATGGCAATCCTAATCCTGTTCCTCCGTAGTATCGACTTGTTGAAGTCTCTGCCTGCATGAATCTCTCGAAAATGACTTTCTTCTGTTCTTCGCTGATGCCAATTCCTGTGTCAGAAACAGAAACAACTAAGTATTCGTTGTCTGATGTCGGTGTCGAATCCCACTTCATCTTGAGAGTTACACCTCCTTTCTTCGTGAACTTGAGAGCGTTGGAGAGAAGGTTGTTAATGATCTGCATGATGAGTTGGGAGTCTGCGTAAACAAGTGTTGGAAAGTTCTTCGAAACAATGATTGAAAATGAAATTTTCGACATTCTCGCTCTACTCGAATTTGCAATCATTGTTGGCTCAATTATCTTCAGAAGATTAACAGTTGTTGGTGTTGATTCAAGCTCTCCTTGTTCGATCTTACTCAAGTTCAATGTATCATCGAGTAATCTCATCAACTGGAATGAAGAAGATCTGATTGAATCAACTAATAACCTCTGTTCTTGTGTAAGTTCCTGATAAGCCAAAACATCCAACATTCCGAAGATTCCGTTCATAGGAGTTCTTATTTCATGGCTCATATTGGCCAAGAACTGCGTTTTCTCACGGTTTGCTTGTTCCGCTGCCTGTCCTTTCTCTTCCAGCTCCATGAAGGCGTTTCTGTTGTCAGTGATGTCGATGAGAACACCGATGATTCTTCTCGCGAAACAGTCGCCTTGGCCTCGGACAGAAACCCATGTTTCCACTCCATCGCTTATTATTGGGAGATCGCTTTCAATCCAGCCGCTTTCGTCAATTGCCTGGCGCAGTTTCTTCGCGAACTGTTCCTTGTAATCCTCGTGGACTTGCTCGTCAACTGTCGACCAGTTCATTCTCAGTATCTTTGAGTGGCGAGGAGTGATTGATCTGATCGGAGGAAGTGGATTTCTGTCATCGGAAAATCTCCACAAAACAACTTTTCCACCCAACAACAAAATGTCATGCAATTTCTGTGTTTCGTTCAAAGCTGTGTTTAATTCGCGCAATCTCTGCATCGGACTCAATGTGCAGTAGATTCCATCATCACGGCAACTCGCTGTTAACTGATACCACTCGTAATCGTTGTTGCTCTTTCTGATCAGCAGTTCTTCTTCGAATTTGTTCTTCGCGAGTTCGTAGAAATTGTCCAAAACATTGGAATTACTTGGATGCAAATACTCCTTCAGATCACTGAACTTTTTATCTGTTTCTTTCACACCTAACGCATCCCAAATTGTTGGTCTCGAATGTACAGAAATAACTCTGTCATTTGTCTCGTCAAGACGCCAGAAATAGATTGGTGGTTCCACTTCACATTTGACATATTCCAAACGGTTTTTCGGATGTATGTATTTATTTATGTTAAACAGAAATCCTTCTTTCTGGTTGGAATACATCAAATACCAGATGTAGCCAACACTCAAACACTTGATGCGAACAGGTAAGCCACTCTTCCCTTCAAGAATCTGAGTCAAAACAGTGGTGTCGGATGGAATAACGAAGTCAGAAAGTGAAGTGGACTTTACATAATCGTTTGGCAAACCGTATTTAGAAATTTCTTCTTCTAGTGAGTCATCTTGCAAAATAAACTTGTTGTTTTCGATTCGGAATGTGTGGACATGGAACTCGTCGTACATTTCTTCCGCATTTCGAACTGATGTTATCAGAACTCCTTCGTGATTTATGATATCTGTCACTGTTTCGGAGCTTATGACTGTTACAGTGCTCTCGTCTTCTATGTAGCGGACGGCGTCAATCATGAAGTAGCCGCCGTCGACGTATTTCATGATTTTTTGGGCAATAAATTCTCCTGGTTTGAGATTTGCTATATCTAGGTTGGCTCCTACGACTAACTGGTTCTGTTTGGAGAGATCTTTGTCCATTAACTCTCTGGATCGAGATTTGGACATGAAATCACTCATGATTTTGTTGGTAGATTTGAGATATTCGATTTTGTCATCGATAAACTCCATAACTGTGTACTCCTTGGCCATGGAAAGTAAATCGCTGGCACGATCGTACTGTTGCTGCATCTCTTTAGAGACAGATAACTGATAAGAGAATAAACAGCATAAACAGAAGTAGGAAAAGCCAAAACTTTCAAATATACCGTCATCCTCAAAAGATACAATGTCAATTACGGCAAGAACATTGACTGTTGGACTGGAAATTCTGGAAATAAAACATTGAGTGGTCGGACCAAGGAAATCTTTGATGATCGCTGATGCAAAGTCCTTCGGAACACGCTTGGGAATGTCGGCAAGCTCTTCTTCCGTCAATTTCCTCTGACCAGGCATAGTATATTGAAAGATTATGTTGTTGTTCTCGTCGTAGAATAGGGTGTGGTATGCCCCTAATATTCTGCTGCAGTTGGTGGAGATTCTTTGGAAGTTTGACCCATTAAAAGGATTATGGTTGATCATTAGGCGTAAATCATTAAAAGCAATGACGGACATGGACACCAATTTACCGTAAGGCTGGAAAGGAGCAAAAGCAGATGCTGAAAGGTCAATGCGGCATTTTGTATTATTATTCAACGTAAAGTTAATGTGGTAAGGGTTAAAATCGCGGAATGACGAAAATCTAATCTGTGGTGGTTCAATGCAGAAATGGGATTCCGATTTGAGCTCACATGAGAATTTTACGCCGTCATCTAAAGGAATTTGCTCGTGCCACATGTAAACGAGTATGTTTCCGTTACTTAGTAATCTTGCTTCAACTCTTATGCTGATAAATGTCTGTTCTAAGCGAATAATTTTCTTAATACAGTTTACACGGCTTTTGGATTTTCCTGCTTGCTTAACAACGTCAGATATAATTTCTGCTGACTCCGTATCTAATTTGCTAAGCTGGGTTCCAAATAAAATCTCGTAATTTTTCGTAAAAACCCACATGTGACGAACTTTCCTTCTTTCTAGCATATATTGGCTTGTATAAATAGAACATACGATTATTCCTATGATTAATAAGTTCCTTCCCATATGAATATACTTTTGATATGAACCTAAAAAAGTTGGACAAAGTTTACTTAAGGTTTCTGATGAAGAAGTGCCAAATACATGATATGATATAAACATTTGATCAAGAAAAGAGATGTTCTCGCGATGAATATTTGGATTAGTTGATTCATAATTTTCATTTGCAGAAACTATATAATATGGATCATCATCGTTGAGGTCATATCCGTTAGCATAAAATTGTAGTGCTATTTGTTGATTGTTTTGAATATTGTTGCCATCGAATTTAAATGTATTTTTGAATTTCGAGTTTGAATTAGAAAAAACGTGATATTTGAATGGCACGGATTCCTGGAAGGCGCAAAACTCATTCATGTTAGGTTTATAAACCTCCAGGAGCTTCGATTCCTCCACAATAAACAATTTGCCCTTTGAAATTTCAATGTTTTGAGCTCTCGATACATTAACTCCGAGACTTTCCACGATTCTTGGGCTATTGCCGACCACAAAAATGGAGGATTGTATACAGAGACATGTAAAGAGAAATTCAAACATGAGGAATAAAAAAAAACAAATTTTTTTCAGTAAAAAAGTGACAATAAAATGACTTTAGTTGATTTATCTATGAAATACAATAAAACACTGGACGATATCGATCAAAGAATCGAAAAGGATATTAAAAGCCTTAACAGGGAACTATTAATTGAAATAATGCAAAAAATTATTTCAAATCCTCCACAATTCTTAAAAAGTAATCCGGCAGAATTCAAAAATCTCGAAGACACCTACAAAAAGTTAATAAATTTACCAAAATAATATCGAAAAAGCCCAAGCCCGTCAAAAATTCAAAATTATTTTCCCATTATACACTTCTCAATTATGTAATTTAACTGCCCATTATCAGGTATTAATATTTTCTTATTAATTAGGCACAAAACAATCTAATTGTAAATATTCTCATTCTTTTACAATTTTGAATTCAATTTACTGATATAATTCGAAGATTTGAACATCTTTTGTATTTCCTTGTTTGATTTTTTTTGTTATAAAAAATTTTTTTTTATAATCATAGCTCTATATTTTTACATACATAAAACAATTTATATTACTTACTCAAACCTTCGCGATTAGTTACTCGTTGCAAATCTTGTGCACAAAGGTCTCTATCGCCTAATGCAAGCCAAAATGCAGCTCTTGCTTTGTATTTCTCATCTGTTGGTTCTAAATCAATTGATCTCGACATATCCACAATGGCTCCTGGAATATTATCAAGATAATATAGCGCAATTGCACGATACATGTACATTTCGGCGAATTTGGTACCAGCCTGTAAATGTAATGAAGCCAGAGCCACTGCCTTTGAGTATTTTCCTTCGGTTATGAATAATGCAACTTGAGAAGTGTCTTTAGGGGATATATTAGTAACTGTTGCACGCGGTGTCTCTATAGCAGGGCGTAGGGATGGTAATGCGTCCGCTGCGGCACTTGCTTTTGCGATAAGATTCTCTGTAGTTAAAAATCTCAAATTGTTTCCTCTTATTTCTAGGCCATTACGTATAGGATTGTTTTTGAGCGATGTGATCTTGCTACTAATCAACGGCATAACGTGTGGTTCTCTGTGATAAATCGAAATGAAGGTTGGAATATCATGATACATAAAACTTAATAGGCATGGCTTGTCATTAACATTTAGTGTTATCATTTCATCAAGCAGATGGAAGAAATGAGGTAAATCTTTTTGACTTATCGAGACATATTCGAGTTGGTAAAAAGCATGCGATTCATCTTCGAAGGATCCTTTCAAAATTGATGCTAGGAATGAATAAACTGGTCCAAGGCTAACATAATTTTGTAATGCGATCAATCTTTCAATTATAGTAATAACTTCATCGTATTTTCTGTTTTGAAGACAAATGGCGGAGAGTCTTAATGATTGTTGTGCTATTGGTTGAGCACGCGTAAAGAATAATGACTGATTTACAGCTGTTCTAACATCTTTATATCTAGTATTGACAACAGAGTCAAATGATGTTGTTCTTTCTTCTGGAATTCGAGTTCGATATTTATTTGCATTTAAGTGATGGCTAAAGTATTTTGTCGACTGTTTTTCTAAATCCTCTAAAAATTCTTGATTGATTTCAGCAGAAGGCTCAATCGTAATCGGTTTGTTAACTGGATATTTATTGGGTATTGTGATCTGAGAATACTGTTGAAATGGGCAAGAAAAATTGTTTAACATCGAAATTTGTCACTTTTTATTCAAAAAAGAATCTTTAGAACACTTCCATCCTGTCAATATTTTGACTTGATACTTTGATATGAAATTATTTGCATATAGCAAAACTCATATACATGATGCCAATAAAAAGGCTAATATAATATTATAATAGAAAATATGAGAATCACATTTATTTTTTTTAAATTTTCATTTGAAAAACCTTTTCCTAATTCAAAAGTCATAATTAATAAATATCTAAACGATGAACATATCCCTTTATTGATTTTATTATGTTATTTCATGCTAATAACAATATTTTCGATTTTGAATTAATTTATTGATTATGTTAAACAGCATTTAGTGTAGATTGTTTGAAAACAAGAATATTCCTCAATATAAATTTTGAGGAAAATACAAATTTATTAGATGTAATCCTGATTCTGAAATATCCATCATATATTTTTATTTATGTTGTTATTTTAAATTTGTCATAACGAGTATATACTTACTTATGTTACCTGCCACAAACTCTGTGAAAAAATAATAGCTTTATTGGTGAATCAAATAATACTAATGGTAAAAATAAAATATTGGAAAGCATAAATGAAAATAATGTTGACTTGGTGGGAGCAATATTACATGAAATAGAAGCATGATTGAACTCATCATATATTCACACACACACACACATAAAAAAATAAAATAAAAATAAAATAAAATAAAATAAAAAAAAACTATTTATAATCAAACAAAATAGCCAGGAAAAGTGTCGAGAAGTTGAAATTGAAGCATAATTTGCTTGCAGAGCAAGTAATAAGAGATTGGATGATAATGTATCCATTACCAAAGTGGCCGCGCTCAAATGATCCCGATGGTGATTTGAATGTTTGGCTTCCATTGTAAAAAGCGGGTGAAGTTAAGTCACTTCTCACGAAGCTACTTCCTCCACCACCGCTTCCAACGTCCACACCTCCACCACCACCATAATAGCCACCTCCCCCACCTCCTGCTGAGGCGTCCCAGCAAGTATTTGCATCACCACCCTTCAAAAATCCTCCAGGTGATGAATCACATGAAGCTGCATTATTCTGAAAATGACTTTTCGAGCCTCCTCGATTTTGCTTTCCTCCCTCTGCGTGATAATAAAAAAATTTGAGGTCTGGAGCGTTTTCTCCAATATAACCGCCATAACCGCCCGGGTTTTCGATTTCATAATACCCCGAGCCACCTCCAGAGCCAGAGGCGATTAGGACATCCGTTTGAACATTATTTACAGTGATAAATGTGGATCCACCACCAGAGCATGATTTTTCCCCATTTTTTCCAACATCATTAAGTCCAGCTTTATAGAAGTTCTGTGAAACAATTTTTGTATCGCATTTACCTTGTCCACCAACATAAATATTGAGTCTGGTTTGACTTTTGACATCAAAAATTGCCTCTGTGTAAGCTCCGTCCAGCACTCTTATTTTGTATGTAACCGCCTTGAGCTCCCCATACACGAATGAGATATTTTGATGGCTCTAGGATAACATCTTGTTTTACACCGGTATATTCGAATAAGTAACGAATATCTTAGATCAGTTTTAAAATATGAAACGTAAAAATTGTATTTTCACAACTATTATACTCACTTTAGCATTAAAAACAAAGTTTACCCATCATTTATAATAAAGTTTTCTAATCATTCCACAAATGAATTTCATTCGAATAGATTCTATTAATAATATGATAACATGCATTGTTAATTAATATCTATCATTGATATTTGATAAATATCGATTAAAAATCAACCAGTAACGTTATCAAATTCTAATTGAAAGAAAATCTGCTCATTTATTGATATTTCAATACAATTTAGTTCATAAATCTCATTCCATATATGCTATATGAATGTTTTGCCTTACATGCCAACTTCAATGGCAATTAGTAATTTTGATTTGATATTCTTAAGATTGGAATCTAATACATTCTTATTTAATTGAGCTCAACAAATCACTATAGTTCAGGGCAGTATTTTAAAGTTCAATTATTCTTTCATCTTGAAGTATGAATATGGAGATTCATCGAATTAAAAGGGCTTTTTTATTATGATCCTTTTTTGATTTTGTATAAAGCATATAACGTAAGTTTGAACATTTAAGTAATATTTCAGAAATGATAGTTAGCAAAATAGTATTATTTCTAATGGAATTAAATATCTAAAAAATGATAAAGGTAGTTGACACTTTGTGGAACATATGCATTTCATATATACGGCACATTCATTACTACGGACAAGATTCGTAATATTTGAAAAACTAGTATAAGGATAAAGAGGATGCACGTATATAAATGGCTGAGGAGTCATCTCATAAAACCAAAAACCATCAATTTTATCCATCCCACAATAGATAAGTTTTCTAATTTTAGATACAGTAAAAACATGCCATGAAGCCGAAGCAATTTTGCTCGGGATTCTCATCATTGTCATAGTAATTTCATAAAATACACCTTGCCCAAATGTGAGTGTTGAGTTATATCTTTCTTCGAATAAAACATTTAACAAAGTTGGAATATAACCAAAGCAATCATAACCAAGGGAAATTATTGTATTTGGAATATAAAGGGATTTCAAGCAGGTATGATGCCTGAAAGCGGAATCGCCAACATGCGTAATAGGAATACCATCTTTTTTATATGGAATAATTAAATCTTTGCAAAGAAAGTATGGATCAGCATTAGAGTCAGCTTCTCTAACATTTGTGCCTAATATATAGTAATCATCTTGTCGTTGGTATACTAAATTATTACACAAAAAACTTTTGAAATGAAATACCCAGATTTTCCTTACTTTTACCACTCCCCATGTAATTTCTGGGGAAAACGATAATTCATTTTTTTTATGGATGAATAGATCGTTTTCCTAGAAAGGACCTCATATCTCTGGCTAAAAAGAGTGTCAGATCCTAAATAGGTTATTGATCTAGTGTACAAATCCAATAAAAAGCCTATTTTTTTGGCTTTTTTGGTGCTCATTTTTTCGAAGATCTACATGAATATGGGGAAACCATCGGATTTTTTTGGTTAACCCACATCTTCATGTAGTCTGGACTATCTTTCCTCGAAGGACCTCTTTACGGGTGTAAAAACTCATAAAGTTCTCAAAAGATTCATTCTCGATCTCCATGCTGAAAGAATTTACAATAAAAAAGAGATCTACGCATCAAACTACAGCCATAAATGAACTGAACCCCTAAAGCTCAGCTCTTAGTTTATCAAAAACGTCGAAATCCTTCTCATTGCAATCAAATTTTCTCAATAACTCATAAGAAAAATCGAATTTTGATTAAGCCGATGTTATAGGTATCACAAATACTACAAACTTGAGCAATATCGAAATTGCCAGCAAAAGTTTGAAATTGCATTGCTCATATTTGTTTTGTAAACTAAAAATCTGCTTATATTATTCATTAATTTTTTATATATTATTCATATACTTTAATAAAAACAATACTATTTCACCTTAAAAATGAATTTCATAAGTCAATATTATTTTTTTGAAAATGTATCAATTTTCGATTAAAACAACATGAGAATAAAATTTACGCAAAATTATTTTAAAAAATGGTTTTAAAAATTTACAATTGATTAAGAATAAGATTGCAAGAAGTTTTGAAGTTTAATTTTAAGAAAAAAAATTCGGATATTATTCATGGATCTAAGTAATCTGATATTTGAGTATCGGCACTATGCATAAAACATATATTTATAGTTTTGTTGGATTTTTATGATTTTAAATATATTCAAATTTGGCAATCCAATAGATTTTTAAAAAATAGGTAAATAAAAATAGATTACATATGCAGCAGATTTAGAACATGAAACAAATCTTATAGTGACCCAAAAAAAATTCATGATCCAAAAAAGAAAAAAAATGGCTAATTGGGAATCAAACCTTGGCATAATAAATCATTATGTAGGATGTTTCCACTACACTACACTGGCAGTTCGAAAAATACCCTTGGTGGTTCTATTTAATAGCTACTCCCAACGATAGGCGGTGTCCCCAGCTTTAGAGGGGTGGTAAAAGTAAGGCAAATCTGGGTCATAAAAAATAAAAAAGTGACAGAAAAAATAATTATAACAAACCCAAGATATATCAAAGTTTTTCTCAGGTCTGTGAATTCATGATGAAATATGCTGCAAAGTAATGTAAATGCTTAGCGTCGGTACTTTTTAATATCATCATTTACGCTATTAAAATTTAGAATCATTTTTTAAAAAATTTTCGATGTCACTTTTATAATAGAAAAACTAAAAAAAAAATACTAGAATCTCTCTTTTGACATATGCAAAAATTATCAATGATTATAGCCAGATTAAGTATTTATTATGTCACTTTTTGAGTTCGCCGAATTCGAAAAAATCCGGCTGAGTTAGCGAATTTTCAGTAATTCGCCATTTGGCGAAACCGTTTTTAAATCCCTAAACAACTCCATAAAAACAAAAAATTGTTATTGAATAATTTGGAACTGAAAAAGAACCGAGAGTTTTCCATTAATAATCAATCTCATTTATGAAACAAATATAACACCATCACGATATGCAAGGATCAAAGCCTAAATTCTATTTTCAACTTGAAATATTTTTCTAATTCTAATTAGATTTTTCAATATTGTACTAATATGCACATATTTATTTTCAGAAGATCAGGGAACTTCTGAAAATTTCTGCGATGTGCCAAAAATACTCAATAATTTCATTTTTATAAATATTAGTCATCCAAAAGGAAATATTACGAAAAAGATATTGAGTGAAATATTGCTTGCTTCGAAAAAGAATACACAAGATTAGTGTAGACATTTTTTGGATACCATATTTATTGAGTCTGGATAATTAATATTTTGACATGATGATTATATCATACATGATTTATAAAATACAAAGGTGTCATATAATTAATTTTTACATTCATAAGGAATAATCGAATTATTGATAATTAATTTTTACTGAATCGGATTCTAAGATTTAATTACATATTATAAATCTTGGTTCATAATTATATTTATTTGAAAAGAAGTGTAAAGAGACTTTATTGTGATAATCCGAAAGCATAATTATAGTGAAAAGTGATTATTCTTAATGATACTGACGAATGAACGAGCGTGATAGTTCACTAACAGCGCCGTAAAAAAAGTGAATTTATTTATATGACAAATTTGATCCATTCACAATAACTGTAAACCCTCTGTAAGTGAATTTCATTCTATGGATCCAATCAAAACCTCTTCCCTTTTAAATTTTTGAGATATCTATTGAATTGAATTTTTCCTTTAAATTTCATGAACCTAGAATATTATGTAATTTTGGTGACAATTTCCAAATGTCCAAAAAACGATATCATCAATTTTCAAATCAATCAGATTTTTAATAAATAACAATATCGTTTTTCATGTTATTATCTTCCGATCTCGAATTAATACTTCTGCTTTTTAAAATTTCATTGAAAATATTTTTTAGGAAAACGCCGTTGTGATTTTCATAAAAACAAAAATGTTAATGTTCCTACTCCCTATATTATCTTTCCAGGAATCGCGTTGTGATCCAATCACAACAAATCTGAAGTTCAATGAACAAATATCTTTGCATTGCCCTGGATTGTACGGAGCGTCCGCATCAATAATTCTTGAAGGAAAATATAGCAACCCTAGGTATACTTGTCAAGGAACTATTAGTAATAATATGTTATATTTTACTGTTACTGAAGAATATCCTTATACAAAATTATCTATAAATGATTTTAGTACAGATGTCCATTTTGAAGGAAGTCCAAATATAGTTTCTTCATCTATGACATTCAATAAATTCTCTCGTAGATGGAACCCTTTTTCATTGTTAATAGAATTTGATGCCAATTATTATGGAAAAGGAACGAACAAATTTGAAGGTGTGTTTGTCACAAATCTAGATGATGTAAATAATACTGATTTTCAAGAAATTCTTGTTTCAACTAATTATGTGGGTGACGAATACTTCTTCATTCCAAATTCAGTAGAAGATGGCGTATATTACTTCGCTTTACGCTTTCACTACATTGATGGAGATAAGGATTCAATATCAAATGTTGTTATAAATCAAATACGAGTTATCAATGATTCAATAAAAGATCGTCTATTTGTTATGATGCGCACAAATGATGTTATATTTTATGGCGGGCATGGTTATCAGATTAATTTTATGCCATTGTCTTCAGCCCCTAAATTTAAGCTTCTCTTCAAACTCGGTGAATATTCAACAAATGTAGATCAATATATTGAAGTTTGTCAATATCAAAAAGCAGCTCCAGGCGATTTGGATATATATGAATCTATCACAATTCCATCTGATATAACAGAAGTCTATAACAAATTAACATTTATAATGGTTGATTCAGACACTTCTACCATTCTTGCTTCAACTGCATTGGATCGACTTGAAATAATTCCAGAACTAACAGAAGATGAAGTACAAATAAACAACCACAAAGATAATAATGGAATTTATTATCTAGCAAACAAAGATACTATTAGCGGAACAATCAAATTTAAAAATATAATTCATATCGATGATTTGAAAGTTTCATATGATTATAATTTTAAATCAGTAAGTGGTACTTTATCTGCAACTGAAGGAGAGGATAGAAAAGTTAATTTTGAAATCCCGTTAACAGAGTTTCCTTCCACCGGTAAAATAATATTTGAAGGAAGTCGTTCATCAGTTAGGGTTCCAATAACAGTCAAAAAACTAGATATGACTGTTAATGTTAACAAATATTTGCCATTAACAGGAACGATCGATGGTAATATTCAGATATCAACAAATTTGGAGTCATCAAATTCCCTTACAGTTGCTGCAAAATATGGTGAATATGATGCATCAACAACTAGTTATAATATTGCCATTGATACTAAAAATGCTGAACAGACTATTCAAATAGATTTAGGGAGCAAAATCACATACAATACAGAGGAAACATTGCCAACAAAACTTACATTTGTAATAATAACTGGAGGTGTTATTGTTTCTCATAAGACTGTTGATTTTGTAATCCTTCAAGAACCACAGATTGAATCAATTACAGACGCTAGTAGCACACATCAATATAAGACAAATTCAAGGATAAATCTAAATATCAAAAGAACAAGAGCGGCAGCACTTGAATATTATTCATTCAAATATGAATTTTCAGCTTAAAATTCTGATCAGATGGCAAATCCAATTTTAAACAACATAAACAAACCAACAAAGGTTTCAAATACAGAAAATGATTTCACTCTTCAATTCACAATTCCAAACAATGTTGAAGCAGGCCAAAAATATTTATTATTGAAACTCATTAATCCACTTAATCAAGAATCTCCTGTTTTCGGTGTCAGTTTAACAATTACAAAAGAGAGAGAAGTAACAAGCAGTTCAATCACGTGCCAAAAAACACAAGCCATGATGTTAGATGAAAAAGAATATTTGTTCAAATGCAATATCGATAATATTGAAACCAATGCTGTTATATATAAAGCTAAAGTTGGTCCATATGACTCAAATGGTTATACCGACCAGCTCGACATTGATTTGCGAATGAATCCTAATGGAAATGAAAACGAATATAATGTATGACTATTCCAAAACAAACACAAGAGCAAACAACTATATCTTTTGGAATGATTGATAAATCTTCGAATACAATTATAAAATATTATGATCTAACAAATATTCAAATTGTTCCAGGGCCAAATATATATTTTAGTCAAGGAACTTATGAATTATTTACAACACCGACTCTTGAATTCCTGGTTAATTATATTTACGATTTCCCTACAGCCAAAGTTCAATATCGCGAAAATGTTTATAATTCTGAGTTTCAAGATGTTATTTCTTTATCTCCATTAAATGCAAATGAAAGAAAGTTTACTGCTAAGGTCAATCTGAATAATATAGGTTTGATAATAAAGATAACTGATAAGTTCGATAGATCTTCATTTTTCACAATTCTTCCTCGGGATATGAAAATGCCAAATGATTACAAATGCAAGATGCAAGATTATAAATCCTATCATTTTATGGGGGAGACAGCAAATATAATTTGTAGGTCGTATTTTGATTATTCTTCATTTGCAGAAAAAGAATTTTATTTTGTTGATTTTTCAGATGAAAACAAATTAAAATTGTTGGGAACTTCATCAGAAAAAGAAGCAATATTCCCATTGACTTTTCTAATACTGCAAGATGCAAAAGATATAAGAAGTTTTTATATTCATCAAAAATTTATTAACATAACCGGCTATAGTCATGATGCCTATGTAGGTAACACAATATATAAATTATTAGAGTTTGATTTTAAGTATTTGGAAATTACAGAAACAAAAATAAAGATCAATGTCCAACCACATGAGAGAATTGAAGGTAATTACGAGACTTTTTATTCAATAGGACCAGATGCCAATACAGAAGGAACAGAATTCATTTCTCTTGGATCAAAAAGCTCATATACTTATAGTGACTTCGAAATAAACCATCAGCTAGCAAAAGGAAAATACTTGTTTACACTCATGATCAAATATGATAATAATCAAAGGATAGCTAAAAAGTCAAAGGTGCTCGATTATGAAAGAACTTTACTACCGGCAGAATATGGTAGACAAAAGTTTAAGAACTCTGCATATTTTATCCAAAAAGATTCTGCTGTCATTCTCAACCCTGTAACGAATGATTCAACACTTCAAGCATATGCTGAGGTAGGTGATAAGAGGTATACTTTATTAAAGGATAAAGTAATAGGTATGGAATTCATAGAAGAAGGAAAGTTAGTAATTATTTCAAAAGAAGAAGTAATTGGATATGTCTTTGGATTTTTCAGGGTGAAAGCAGATGATAAAATATTCATGTTTGGAAATGGTAGCATAACTGCTGGAACAGCAGAAGATTGCATGTATAAATTAGAGCCTCCAAAATCTGTTGCGGTTTTAATGTATTCATTTGATGGACAATGTTTGCGATCAATTGATAATGGTGGATATGCACCTGATTATGATACATATGATGAGGAAGGTTTTTGGAGTTCCCCGGGCTATACTTATCAAGTTAACTTTATCAAACGAGACAATCCATATAAATATACATTTAAAAATTATAGATCCGATGATCCAGGGTTCATAATAATCAATTCCAAAATAGGAACACATAAATTGGCTACTGTACCTGATGATACAACTAGTAATCCAGGAAAAGATCCTGATTCTAATCCAGGAAAAGATCCTGGTGCCAATCCTGGAACAGATACAAATACAAGTTCAACAGCACCAATGAAAGAAGATACAAAAGATGGAGAAGATTCCAAACAAGGTAATGGCAATACTGGAAAAATAGCCGGTGGTGTAGTTGGAGCTCTTGTTGTTATCGCTGTAATTGCAGTTATCGCTTTTCTTATTATAAGGAAGAAGAAGAATCAGGCTGACATGGATTCACACGATGACAGCATAAAAGAAGACAAATCAATGGATGAATCTCCAGTAGTGTGAAACAATTTTTTAAGCTTTTTGCTATTTCAAAATTTTTAATTTAAAAATTTAATTTTTTTTTAATTTATTGTAACTAGAAACAAAACAATCAACATATCATCAGGATATTTCTATCTTCTCTATTCATTTCTTTGACCAGTACTGGTTTGGGGATTTCTGATTTGAATTTCTTGGGCATAAAAGTGTGTATTTCGGTTCTGTTCGATGCACTCACTGTTCTTATGGACATAGCCGATGGATATTAGTATACTATTGAACTTTGGAGGCCAAAGTTCTGCAATCAGAATAAGATTGCAAAAGAATGTACCATTCGGGAAGACATACATAGTCAATCCCCACTATTTAGCAGAATAGGAGTTAGAACCTAGAATCTTTAACTTAAGAAATTATGTACATTTAGTATATCTTAGTTCTTATCCTAGAATTGACAGCATACCAGAAATGACTCTATCTAAATCACAATATCATGTAAGACAGTCTTGTGGGTCTTTTTCTCGCAATCAGAATGTGATTTCGAGATATTCGATCAATCCTATGAACTTGAACTGACAATGTACCATGAATGAAAGAACCCTATACTATGCTTAAATTTTTCAATAAAAATTCTCTCAAAGACTTTGTATCTTGATTTCCTAAGATGATATTGACCTGTTAGAATCACCATCATACTATTTTATATGTCTCATACTTAGACCCATAGTTCCAAGCCAAACCTCACGTTAGAAAATTGTTGGATGAATTTTTTTGAAGTAATTGCTGAAACGATGATCAAAAAGATTAAATAGTATTAATTAGTAAATATTAAATATTTACTTATAACGCGAAAAAATTACAAATTCTATATATTTTTCTGCATTCCAACAGAATTAAGAAATAAATGGCTCAAAATCCTTGCAAAAGCTTACCTAGTTTATTAGCAAGCACAAGGAACCGAATTTTCATAAGAAAATTGAAAAACATTGAACATATCGAAGATGCTCTCATCAAAAACGCATGACTGAGAGTCAACAGATGAGTTAGCATCTGAAGCAGCTATTTTTTGTAACTTTTTCTGCTTGCGATATGATTCAATGTGGAAATTGTATCTGTTCTTTATGTTTCCGTCGGATCTGCCTGGGAAGTATTCGCGGAGTTTGCACCAGTGCTTTCCAATTTCTTGGACTAAAGAACGAAGACGCTCATCTTCTTCTTCTGTCCATTCTGTATTGGAAACATTTGGAGCTAAGTAGGTTCGATATCTTTCGCGACATTGTTTTGATGTTTTGCCCATTGCTTCGGCAATGTTTCTCCAGTTTGGCTTTTCTGATGATGCAGCAACAAGGTTAATGAGGAGTTGATCCTGTTCCTTGGTGAACATCTGTCTCTTCTTCTGTACTGATACCATTTGTGTTGAGGTCATTGTGTAGAAATGAAAATTTACATCAATCCTTCACTGGCACACCATCACGAATTTTTTGAGAATTTAAGATCATTTTAACATGTCACTGTATCTCAATTTGAGCATAATTTTTTCATTCAAATTTGAATAGTAAATCAAAGATCAATTGCAGATATGATATATTGCATATATCAAAATTTTAAAAAATTTCATTTAAATTTTTAGAAAATTTTTCTGTTAAAAATTGATCTATAATTGTAAATATGATATATCCAGAAAAATGTTGTGACATGTTTTCAGTATTCAATTCATTCAATTTTTGATCTGACAGTGCCAATTGAATATTGATTTGAGAAAAAAAATTGAGATATCATATCATATATGTGATTAGAGGACATAAATAAATGAGTTCAAATTTCAATTGATTATTTCGGAATTATGTTTTTGGAAAGATAGTAATCTATTTGGTAATTAGATGTAATTTCTGTTTTGCATGTAAAATTATCAAATTACAATGTGGCACTTTTTGAAACTATAGTTGAATGAGTTTAATTTCCATTCGAAGATCATATGATTGAACTATCTTCTGGCTTACCGGTGCTTCTAATCTATACTAATCATAAAATCTAGGGTCCAAAATCGATTATTTTGCTCACAATTTTTTCCAAGAAATTTGACCCAAGGTTTTGAAATTACTATTTACAAGATTTGATAAAACAATATGCACCGAATCAAGTACAAAACTAAAGCAGTTCAAAATCAAAAAGCCAAAGTTATTCTTGAATATGACATCAACCCCCACATCAATTGTTAAAATAATAAATAAAAATAATATTTATTATTAATAATTTTTTATATAAGAGATTCTTGTAAGCTCCAACCTCCAAACTTATTTTCCTTTGCGTTTGCCATTACCTTTCTGAGTTCCTTTACAACAGGAAGGAATAGCTGGTGCACGTCTTCATCAATTACAGTGCAAATTCCGTCATGAACTAATGCGTACTGCAGAGTCATTGCCGCAGGAGTGTCATTCATCATCATCATTACGCAAGGAAGTTCTCTATCGAAAGGTCTTCTTATGTAAACACTATTTCCAAGTGCGAAAATGTTTGCGATATAGTTCAAACATGTTTCAGTGAACTGTTTCGATCTGTTTCTAAATGGCTGAATGAAAGCGAGTGATACAACAAATCCATTTGGTTGGTACTGCATCAATTCATCATCGTATTTCCTCAGATCAGAAACAAATGACCAAACATCAACACCGTAATCAATTAAATTAACGAACACTTCTGGTCCACGATTTCTCACAACTTGTGCTCTGTAGTTCACACCATTTCTGACCATGATTACGTACTGGTCTTCCATTGGAAGCAATTCTAGTTGTGGGAAATCCGCCTTCAGAAGCTCATTGACTTTTGTTGAATTGTCATTTTGAGCTTGTACGGCGTAAGTTGTTTCATCAATTACTTTGGTAATGATGACAGGAATTGCTTTGTCTTTTGGAATCTGTGATGAATTCCTTCCTTCTGATTTGAAGATACCAATGGATTTGGATCTGGCTTCTTCAGCGTGCTGTTCTAACTCATCCTTGTTTGTCGATGGATCGTCTGTTGCAAGCTTGTTGTAGTGAACAAGGCCTTCGTGGACAGGAGGAACACGTGCATCGAGTTTTGAAATCGAATCGTAAATCAAAACTCTGTAATATCGGGAATGTTCTGCATAACGAGTGATTGTTACATCTACTTCGTGGTGGAGGAAGCAGCGCCTTAATACTTCCATAGCACGGCGTGATGTCCAGTCATTGGATTGTAAGGGGACTAATCCGACCAAAGATACTCTCAAAATTGTTTGTAAACTTGGAACAAACAATTTCAAGTAAACCGAACCTGTTACTTCGACAATGATAGCTCTGACGTTCCTGGAGTACTCGTCTGCCATCAGGAGATCTCTGTCCTCTCTGTTTAGCTCTTTGACGAGGACTGGTTTGGGGATTTCGGATCCGAAAATTCCAATTTGATTTTCTTGGGCATAAAGGTAGGCATTTCGGATCTGTTCGATGTAATCGCTGTTCTTACGGACACGGTTGATGGAGAGGAGTGCGAGGCCTTTTCTGCAGAGCATTTCGTTCAAAATCTCGTTTCCGATTTTGATTGTGGCAAATTTCTTGTCAGCGCGGTCGTCGTCGAGTGTAATGTAGACTTCTTTGCCAATAACTGTTTCGCGGATGAAATTCCAGGCTTCGAAGCCAAATGGCTCTGAAATTCCATTGAAACTGAAATCTGGGCAATGGACGGTACTTAAGTAGAACAATTCTTCATCGCCACTCTCGTTGATGATTGTAAAGGTGTTTGAGGATGGAATGGCAAGAATTTGGGCTGGAAATGGTTTCGTCCGAATTTCTTTGTAATTTGTATCGGCCCAAATGCCAGTTCCTTGACGCTTGGCTGTTGTCTCGAGAGCTTGGAAATGGTTTGGCTTCGAAAGATAGTTTGATGTAAGTGAATTGAAACGAACAATGCCTTTGATTAGCATTGTGGCGCCAATATCGCGATTTCCTTGAGTAAGAGTACCTACATAGCCATTTGGCGACTTTGTGTGAATTCTGAGTAAGAATTGTTTGTCTAAGAGATTTTCAACAAAGAAATCAATAAATAAATTACGAATAATTGGTGAACTGGATGTAATGTTTGTGTGTGCAATACCTGCAAGTTCTACTGGGAACTTCACACCATTTTCATTAACACAAATGAAAAGAAATGATTCCATTGAGATACCAAGTAAAGTAATTCTCAACTGTGCATTTTCTGCAAGTTCCTTATCGGAGAGTGGATGCGGATCTTTGATCTCATTTGATTTCGCAATTTTATTTAAATTTCCTAATGTTCCGGCATCAACATCTTTACCGATATTGACTGACTTGGTGGCATCTGACTTGGCTTGGTCACTATTAACACCTAAAAACCCTTGATTATTCATTTTTTTTTCTTCTGACCCGAAATCTATTTTTTTCCCCCTATCAAGAAAAATGGGTAATATATGATGGGCTTCCAATAACACTCGGCTGTGTGCATAATACTTTATCAGGCTTTACTAACCATACTGCTGAATTCGATATCATGTAAACCTCGATATCACTTTTGCGGGCACATAAGTTCCCAGAATGCTAAAATGTGTGTTGCGCCATCGCCGAATATCAAATTAAATATAATAATTATTTTAATGAAATTTCATTAAAAATCTAATAGTTATTACGTCCTGTTGAATTACAACAATTTATTTAACTTTTAAATCCATAAAACTCAAATGAGATAACATTACAGTCTTGTATTAGGTTGAAGATCTTTTTGATTTCGACCTTCTTATTCTTATTTTGCTATTTTATATCTGTGGTCATTATTTTCCCATGTATAACTTTGCATTATTTCTTCTAATTAATTTAAAGGATATTTTGTATGGGGAAATGCAATTCTGATTCAAATTTTAATCGAAAATTTTGGGGCAAACGATTTTTTGTGAGTTAAAAATTGAAAATCTAGATTATGTTTCATGCGTATATGATTTTTATTTTAGACGATAAATTTATCATAAAGTCGACTTTCCGCCCAAAATTTTTGCGATTCACCTTTGAAATTACAATTGCGAATTTATGGGCATTTTCAGAAAAATAGCCGGTCGCTATCGCTCCATTTGCATTTTTCTGAAAACGCCCATAAATTGCTAATTTTAAAATATTTTCATGTCTGATCAATACAGCAAATTGCGAAGTATCAATAAGTACTACATTGATTCATGTAATTCGTTATACCAGCTCAAAACAGAAAAAGAAGAGGAATTAAACACAATTTACAAAAAGATCATAACAGAATTGATTGATTCAAAGAAATATCCACCCAAAAATATTATGGAGGATATTTTAAATATCATCCCGTATAATAATTGCTATACAAAATCATATTTATATCTTGTCAAACTCATATCTGATGATTATCATGTGGAAGAGGTCCATAATGTTAAAAATGTTTCAAACTTCCTATTTTATAAAGAATATGGAATTAAATTAGACAAATCAGATGATTTCAGAGATATCGAAACAGATAATCTCGATATTCATACAGAAAATACGATATACAGAGCAATTATGCATAATGATTTCGAAAAATTCATATTCTTCACTGAAAGAAATGAATTTGATGAAAGTCAAAAACTTAAAAGCGATTTATATCCTTTTTCTAAAGAGGGTTATTCGTTACTTGAATTATGTTGTTATCATGGAGCTGTCGATTGTTTCAAATTCTTAAGAACGAAATTCGATTCAGAAATTACTCAAAAATGTCTAAAATTTTCATTTTTAGGTGGAAACAAAGAGATCATGAGTGAATGTTTGAAATATCAAAAACCAAATTATAAGTGCATGAAATATGCAATTATTTCACACAACATTGATTTTATTACGTTCTTGATGAATGAATACAATATAAATATCAATTGAGAAATTTGTGCAACTTACAAAAATCTTGATGCATTTTTAGTTTATTTCGACCAAACTAATGATATTCATGAATGCTTTATTAATTCGGCGGAATTTTCTATTCCATCTCTTTGTGAATATTTCCTATCACAAGGTGCATATGTCAATGCAAAAAATTGTTATAAAGAAACTGCTCTTCATCTTTCTGCAAGATATAATTGTAAAGAACTGGTCGAGGTTCTTCTTTCACATGATGCATATGTCAATGAAAAGAATAGTTCTAGAGATACCGCTCTTCATCTTGCTGCAAGATATAATTGTAAAGAAATAGTCGAAGTACTTCTTTCACATGATGCAAATATCAATGAAAAAAATATATATGGAAAAACCGTTCTTCATGTTGCAGTAGATGATAATAATAAAGAAATGGTCGTCTTTCTTCTTTCACATGGTGCAAACATCAATGCAAAGGATGATAATGAAAGTACATCACTTCATCATGCAGCTGGGAATAATCGTAAAGAAATGACCGAGCTTCTTCTTTCACATGGTTCAAATATCAATGAAAAAATAAAAATGGAGAAACCGCTCTTCATCTTGCAGCATGTCTTAATACAAAAGAAATAACCGAACTTATTCTTTCACATGGTGCAAATATCGATGAAAAAAATAAAGATGGATATACCGCTCTTCATTTTGCAGCAAGAAATAATTGCAAAGAAACAGCCGAACTTCTTCTTTCACGTGGGGCAAACATCTATGAAAAAAATGAATATGGATATACCGCTATTCATCTTGCAGCAGAATTTAATAGTAAAGAAACAGCTGAACTTCTTCTTTTACATGGTGCAAATATCGATGAAAAAGATAAATATGGATATACCGCTCTTCATCTTGCAAAAAATTTTTATCATGAAGAAATTGCCAAAATTTTTCTATCTCATGGTGCAAAAATATAACGTTCTATTATATGATTCTATTATTTCTTTTTCTGTTATTTTCGATAATGAATTTCATTAGAACTAAAAAAATTATTACAGTCTTGCGATTTCTCGCGTCTTAAGCACTCACTGACGTCTAAAGACGATAAATACAAATTTGAAAACTTTGAAAAATTTTCGTGGAATCGTTTTGGAAATATAATAAATAACAATATTTCATAAATTTTGAAAATGTTCATTAAGAATACTGTATGTTCATAATAGGATAAAGGAGAAGAAAGGAATAAATGACTGAATATTTCTTGTTTTCTATCAAGAAAAGTTGATATAGTGAAACAGTTCTTTGACTAAGATTTGTTATTACGAAAAATCTCTCATGATGTAATATTGATAATAAAATGATTAAATACGTCGTTATGTATGAATAATAAAATAACAAGATTGATTTTCGAATGTTTTAATTTTAAGCAGTGAGAATAATTATCAAGATTTTTAGATTGCTACAAGAGGAAACTACAAGCAAAAATATCATGATCCTATCCACTGCATAAAGCCTAATTTTTAGCGATGGATAGCCTGAAATCGCAAAAATTTAACCAAAAAAGCAGATGTAAGTGTGTTTGAAGATTAAAGAAATAATATATGATTTATAATAATAAATACAAATTTTATTTCGCAGATCTAACATCGAAAGGAATCGGAGGCAAGTTGGAAAGAATTGATTCAGCATCTTTTTCAGTTGACTGGATGTAAAACACTCTAATTTGCGTTGCCTTCATTTTGTTCGGTAACAAAATGTCACATTCTTTTGGTTGAGAGTAACTGATGAACCTGTGCATGTATCTGTTTCCTTTCGGTGTCTTTACTTCAATGACAAGTGAATGCAAATTCTTCCATGTCTTGAAAAACCGTAAACCGCTAACAGCTGCCACTTTTTCGAAACTAAGAGTGTGAATCAAATTCTTTTCTTCTACAGTTGAAGAGTAGTTAATTAGCATTACAAATTTTGGTTGATTTGCCGCCAAAATCTGTTTGATTTCCACTTTGTTTTTAACAGGTTTTCCGAATATTTTGATTCTTCTCAGTTCGATTTCTTCTCCGACAATTACAATCTCAAGGAAACGACTGTTTATTTTGCATTTCTTGTAACTACATGGCGGTGAAAAGTGAAGAACAACATTGTTGATTGTGACTGTCAAATTCTTGTCGCAAACTATTTCAACACCCGACAAAGCCATGTATGATTCCAATGCAACTAAAACATGCATCATGTTTACATTTGGTTTGTAAACTAACCTTGAATCACAGAAAACAGTTTCAAATGGAATTTTGTTCTCTCCAAGTGGTTGTTCATTTATCAATGCAAAATAAGGATACTTGCAAATAATTTCTGGATCTCTCCTCTCAACATATTTGGTCACTTCACTTTTGAACACTTCACTTTTTGCATTTTTAGAAATTTCTTGTTTTTGATTTGAATTAACTTCATTTTTATCAGTTTTGGTCACTTCACTTTTTGTTGGTTTAGAAATTTCTTGTTTTTGAATTGAATCAACAATTATTTTGTCACTTTTTGAGTTTTGTAAATTTTGGATATATTTCAAGAAATCAATAGATTTTTTGTGAGTTTGAATGAAAGGATTCAAATCCAAATACGATTGAATTTTCTGAGAATTCAGAACTTCAATAGATTGTTGCAACTGTTTCAACTGTTGGTAGCAGAATCTACACACTTTGTTTTCTTTGAAATTAGTAATGTGTTCATTACAGAACCAATCCATGCAGAAACTACACTGCAAACAAGTATTTTTCTCTTGATTGCAATTTCTGCAAATTTTCTTTTTTCTGTTTTTCTGGTCAGTTTTATTCAGATTGAGCAGCAAACCTAAATCATATGTATCAGGATGTATGTCCATAGACACTAACTTAGTCTGCGCTTCTCCAACAGAGTGCAATCCCGTGACACGAGTGATTTCGTACTGTATAGATTCAGGAATTATATCTTCTCTCTTCTTGTGGTTCTTGCATTCCATCAAAACAACTCTCCGCCTGTCATCTGTCAATCTGGCCCTGTTTTGATTGGTAAATGGATATGAAAATGGTGGATTGTCATAACCAAATACACAAATTCCATTCAAAGTGGCATAATTTGACAAAGGTGAAGTGAACTCAAATGACAAAAATCTGACAGGTTCTACTTCGTAAACACGATTTATTTGGTCGTATTTCGTGTTGTTGTCTGAGAGTTTTACCGAGCAAATGTTTGTTTTTTCATGGGAAATAGGTAAAGAAACAATTTCTGTCACATCAAATTGGCGGTTATTGTAAAGTCCGGCAGAAATGTGAACTGTTGCAGGGGATATTGGGAAATTCTGGTTTTCAGACAATCCGAAGACAATTTCCGTCAAGAAAATCGGTTTTGACAAAATCAAAGTCAAAGGATTTTCAATTGAAAACGAAATTGGTTTAAATGACTGTCTAAGAAGGGAATTTCCGATGTTTTGGGGTTCCATGATGGCCGCATTAGCTTGGAATGATGCACAGGTCATCGTAAGAGGCTGTAACATGCTCATCATCGAAATTGAAATTTCGAAATTGTCGTACAAAGGGAAATCCTTGAATTTCTCATCGACATTCGCAAATTTTGTGACTATCTTCTTAAGAATTCCTATGCCGATGTTGCCAAATGACCTCATTGAGTGGGCGGTTGAAATAATGAACTTGGAACAGAGCTGTATGAATGATTGGGAGATCTGGGAGAAGTCTGTGAACGATTGGATGTTAGTTGTGATGATGTTAGTGGGTTTGATCGATTTAATTAGCAATGACAAAATGGCAAACAGTTCTTCTTCAATGGAATCAACAAACGAGAATCGGAATGCACCTTGCTGGATAGAGGCAATCTCTGTGGTCGTTTTGTTCTCGAAAATTCTCGACATTCCGAAATTTTCAAATTTTGAAGAGGAAACTGAGTAAAAGAGATCGATAACAGATGGTATATTGTCGAGTTTGTCACTCGAGAATGCAAATTTTGTTTTAATCATTGAAACTTTCAGATTATTTTCTTCATAATTGCAAAAACTTTGAATTTTGTTCATTAGTTTAGCGTAAGAAGGGTTCTTTGATTCATTGAATAGCATGATGTTCAAAATATTGTTGAAACCAGAAATTTTCGAAAGATTTTTGAAATAATTTTTAACAACTTTCTTTTCTTGACTCTCCTCTAACTTGTATGTATCAGAAACTGAAGGTACATCACCAATATAGAAAACGTGAGATATTGTTTCATATCCTGAGCCTCTTGGAACGACATATGCGATTTCAATTTCATAATCCATATTTGACTCGCCATTAATATCAAATCCTCTTTCCTTTTTCTTGTTTGATGTAATTTTTCGAGAAATAAGTAAAACATCTGAAAGAAAAACGTCGATATAACAAAAAGCAAAAGATCCTTGGATAACTCTGGGGCATAGGTTTGGTATCTGTATGTTTTCAAAAGCCACCGCTAATGTTTCGTTAACAGATGCAGAATAATTTGAATTTCTTGTAAAATGTTTAGAAATATCAAATGTTGGGCAAAAGTAATGATTGCATGAGAATGGGTAAGATCTGAGTTTCTCGATACTGAAATCTTGGGATGGTTCTCCGATCAAAATTGAAAATCTGACAAATTCAACTTCTTTAATTTTATAAATTGGATGTTCATTCTTGTATTTATATAGAGTATCAACAGATTTTGTGAGAATAAGTATGCCTGCTTTGTCAATTGTAGTATATCCAAAAATTGAATGAGCTTTTACCATTGTTTCAATCATTTCATCGTTGGAAATGTAACTCAATGCCTCTTCTTCTGTTGATAATATATCTTTTTTGAAAATTCCTGCATAACATGGAATGCCATAGTAAGGTTCGAATTTTATTACATGATAATATTCTGCACCGGCTGGATGCACTATTAAATAGTTCTTTTTGGACTTAAGAGAAACAAAAACAGCTGAAGAATTTGCTGTTTTCGTTTCTCTATTCATATTTTAAATTTTGGGGTCAAACAAAAATAAATTGGGGATATCAAGAAAAAAAAATGGGGAGAAGCTTCCTAAACTTTTTAATCCCATAAATATGGTCATTATCTGGAATAAAGAGTTAAGCGTCATATGTCACTTTTTGTACTAAGGAAACATCGACTTTATGCGTTATGACTTTTCGATGAGGAAACAAGTGTTCACGTATTATAAACTTCCTTATTCCAATAAACCAACCCTAAACATAATTAATTCTAAGAATGATAATGGTCTCTTTTCTATGATAACCAAATCAATTTGGTTATCATAGTAAAGCACCAAAAACAGGAATAGGAATCGACAATATGGAATCACGAATCAACTCTAACAAAATGGAATTGGAAAATTCTTGCATCCATTCTTTATTTATGCAAAATTTAAATTTCAAACAAAATTCTCGTACTATTCTCAATAAGATTTGCAGAAACTTATTATTACTCTTATACGAAAGAAGATTTTTCATGCTAATTTTATCGAAGAACTTTATCTTGCAAAATAAAATACTCATTTCCTAGAAACTTAGACTAAAAACAGTAACAATGAATAAACTTCGGTCTAAAAATTAAATTCGTACTATTGTAATTAAATACTTATCTTTATAAAAAAATATCATTTTTTTTTCCAGTGAAAAAAAGATGTGACTTTTATTGATTGATTGTTTGTAAACATTGCACTTTGAATAAGTATATTTTGTTTAAATTTGCACTTGGAATAAATATACAAAACAACACTGAAATTCCAGCTACTTTTCAATACTAATCATTTTTAAACATTCATTGTCCGTTGATTAGTAAGGCAAATGTTCGATTTTGAGCATGCATATTCAGTGAATGAATGCATTAATTAAAATCAATGAAGGAAAGGGGATAAAACATGAATTGCAACTATGTCGCTATAAAGATATATGTCTCACAAATTGTTAGAATAGAGTTCTTTCATAATGATTGAATATTCTTTCCTATTTTGGTTATTACACGGAATTTCCTTCCTAAACATATAATGTCTTCCTTATAAAATGACTTATTTTCTTTGAAAGCTAGTATATTTTAACATTTTTGAAAATTTTTATATTTTTTTTAAGTTTTTATTAAAACAATAGAGATTTAAGTATATCCCCTCTAAAATAAGTGTTAATAGTATAAAATCAGGTTAAATTTGATCTAATATGAGTAAAAATGTAAAAAAGAACACACTCATTTTGCATGTAAAGGAATAATCAGAGTTATTCAATAACATTTTACGTATTAAATTATGGAATTACGATATCTTTTGAACAAAATTCAACGTAATTAGCAGAATGAATTTAAAAAATTGCTAAAAGAATGATGTACATTGATCATGCATTAAAGTATCTTAATAAAAATGCAGTAATATACAATGATGAGCAAAGCAGATTTGAATCAGAAAGAAGATTTGCTTAAAAAATCAGTTGAGTCTTCTCTAGTTTCCATATTGCCTATTCCTGTTTAAACGCGGTTATTCCTATTCCTGTTTTTGGTGCTTTACTATGATAACCAAATTGATTTGGTTATCATAGAAAAGAGACCATTATCATTCTTAGAATTAATTATGTTTAGGGTTGGTTTATTGGAATAAGGAAGTTTATAATACGTGAACACTTGTTTCCTCATCGAAAAGTCATAACGCATAAAGTCGATGTTTCCTTAGTACAAAAAGTGACATATGACGCTTAACTCTTTATTCCAGATAATGACCATATTTATGGGATTAAAAAGTTTAGGAAGCTTCTCCCCAATCTAAACTAAAAGAAAGTTAGAAAAAATAATAAAGATAAGAGGTTATGAAAGAAAAGATGAGTTTTAATGAAGAGCCAACTCTCTCAGGATATTAGTTTATTAACAATCAGCAACCTACCTTATATAATATGTCTCAATAAAGATACAATTATTTCTGTTGGAAATTTTATTTTACTAGAAAAAAAAAATTAAAATGGATGATCTAGTAGATTATTTCGCACAAATTCAAAAACCTGAGACACAAAGTATCAATGTAAATGAAGCTTTCGAAACCTTCTTCAAAGGTATTGCCGCTGGATCAGCACCATTCCAATATGAATATTTTCGAAGCGCGATAGGTGTAGCATTTGAAGAAAAAATCCTTTTTGATATACCAAATGAACTGTATGTGGAATGGTATGAAAGGATTTACCGTTCAGATTTTTTATATCCTACAAAGCCAAAAAGCAAAAAACGCTCTAAATACGACATTAAAATACAATATGATACATATCTATTATGCCAAATCACTACATTCATAGCTTCAAAAGATAATTCTTTTCCAACTAACATCAAATTTACTTATGAAAGTTATTGGAAACCAGAGTATCTCGCATTGTCATACGTTGCTTCAATACTAGATCCAAAATCAAAACTATTTACAGACGGATATATATCTCTTCCAAAAAGTAAAGAAGAAGGCCGTCTTGCTGGTATTAATGAATTAACTACATTCTACGTTAAAGAATCCTTTCTTTCAAATAATTGTTATAGAAAATATCGACTTTTCCAAGCAAATGTAATGCTAAGTAAGGGTGTATATGGACAAATATTCTTGCATGATGATGTTTATTTCCTATACATTGATTACACTAAATGCAACAAATATTCGAGAAAAATTATCAAAGTTTTACCAAAAGAATTCCCTGATGGTGCAAGACTTTTAGATGCTGTTTATGTGCTCCATCCGAGGCCATATGCTCCTATTTCAATACCGGATACAAACAATCCTGTGAATAATTAGAAGAATAAATATTTTTTGAAATGCTGGTGTTAATATTCTTATAGTAATATCTTGATAAAACTATATTAATTTATAAATTTGAAAAATATTGAAAACTATGAAAAAAAATTAATGAAAACAATACCTTATTACAATGAAAAAATCATAATACATTAATGTTTTTGAATGGTATCTGTTAGGAATTTTAATGATTCAATCTTCGGAATATGTATACATTTTATTCAATTTATAATGATTTTCATGTGCTTATGATGGTAAATATAATCAATGTATGCATATTTCAAAACTCATTTTCCAACTTAAAAGTCTATTTAATATTGAAACTACTTTCAAAAAATTGAAGGAAAATTTATTTAAAAATTAAAGTTTAATTCCCGCAAACGATAAATATAGAAGAAGATGTAACAGTTCTTAATGATAGTGTTTCGGTCGAATCTTGAAATTCTTAACAAAATCAAAATCAACTTCTTTTGTTGAGAAATATTTGATAACATTGATTTCTATTTCATTTGATTTTTTGCAGTGATTATAAATATCACATCCATACAAATATATAATATGTTTTCCGATTTCAATATCATTAGGGATATTAATTTTTTCAGTATGTTGAATGATGTTTGAAGGAGTTGAAATTGTATTATCTAACCTGATGTTGTAATTGCCATCAAATGAAATATTTAATGACTTTAATTTAGTATTATCTTGATGTTCATATGTAAAGTTGATATAATGTTTGCTTCCTCGAATTAATTTAGTCTTAGTAAAGTTGTATAATTTGAAAATCGGATCATTGTATATATATGAGAAGTTCTTAATGATAATTTCTGATGTTTTATTTGTTTCATCAATTGCCCAAATTGTTATATTATGATTCTTATTTTCCTTGAAATCTGATGGAAATGGAACGCATATAATAATATAATGTTTGTATATTTCTGTGATATTATAAAATGCTATATTTACTTCATAGCTTCCATCAAATTTATAGTAAAGTGTAACGTTTCCACATTTATCTTCATCAACTAAACTTCCTGTTATATAAAATGAATTTGAGGCATTCTTCATAAATTCTTGATTATTTTGGGTTGTAATAGTAAGAAGTGGCGAATTATAAATATATTGAAAATCCAATCGAAAAGGAGTAGATGATTTATTTGATTCATCAACTGCTGTTACTATGAGATAATGCGATGATTCTGAGAGATCTGGTGGAAACTCTAAATCAAATGTAAACAGATGCTCGCTAACATTTAAAATATCAATAGTTTTAGTGTCAATGATATTGTCGTCAATGTAACATGTAATAGTGACTTGACCAATGCCATCGAGATCAACTATGTTGCCTTCCAGATGAATACTCTTGTTTAAGCATCGATAATATGGACCGTTCTCGAATGTGTTGATTGTAAGTTCTGGTGAATTGTATTGGTAATATAAAAAAATATGTTCTTCGTTTGATATCTTATTGTGTTCATCAGAGCAATAAATCGTAATATTATGAAGAGATTCTGAAAATATAGATGGGAACTCAATTTGTTTAGAAAATGAGATGCCACATTCTGTGTTCATGTTTTCTGAATGTAATTCTCTAAATAAATTATCATCAAATTTGTAAAAAACAGAGATAAGACCAGTGCAATCTAAATCTTGGATTGTACCTTCAATATTGATCGATTTGTCTGTTGTCCGGGAGAGTGTCGTGAAATTTTCTGCTGAAACAAAAAGTATTGGTGAATTGAAAACAAATTCGAATGTCTTAGTGTATTTTGATGATTTACCAAAGCTGTCTACAATCCAAATTGAAAGGCTGTGTGTACTCTCTGAATCGAATTGTTCGAAGTATTCTGATGTTGAAATCAATATTGTGAATTCATATTCATTTGTGATTGTAACATCTTCAATCTTCTGTCGATCTCTATTGTCGATGACATAGAAGAAGTAGATATTATCCGCATAATTGTCATTTGTGAATGTTCCTGAGACAGAGATATTTGTATCAATTTTGTTGTGGTATATAGATAGAGGTTCCTTGTTGACAATAATAGATGGATTGTTGAATAAATACATGAAATTGATGATTTCTTCATTTGATTTCTTAAGATTTCCATCTTTACAATAAATTCTGATTTCGTGAATTTCTTCATTCAAGTTTGCTGGGAGATCAATTTTTTTATTGAATTCATGATATGATGTATTATAAATTGTTATTGTTTCTAGATATTGTTCTGTAGAATTATCAATAATGTAGTATATTAAAATTGATCCACTTCCATCAAGATCAATGACATTTCCTTTGATTTCAAGTTTATTGTTAATTCCTTTTCGAATTTGCATATTGTTATCTGTTGTGATAGAAATTGATGGTTCATTATGTTTGAAATAAAATTGAAAATGCAAATAATCTGATTCTTTTTGATTAGAATCAACCGCCCATATGTAAATTATATGAAAATCTTCTGTTAATGATGGTGGAATTTTAACTGTGAAATTTAATGCATATTTTTCATTTTGTGCATTAATTATTTGTTTTGACATCATTTTATTTTCTGTTTCATTGTCAAATCGGCAATAAACAGAAACAATTCCGTTTCCATCATTATCTGAAACAGTTCCTTCAAATGCAATGTTGTCATTTATGTTTTTAGTGTAAGGAGACATTGAGATTGTAGTACCTTCAATATTAGGTCTATTATAAATGAAAGAGAAATTTAGTATATACTCATTGGATTTCCTGTTAAATCCCTTTTCTGCCCAGATAGAAATTGTATGATTATTGCTTTCAGGTAAATCTGAAGATAATGGTATATCTAGCTGAACATGATCTCCTTCATTTCCTATATTTTCATACGTTTTTAATATTTTTGAATCTTTATCATCAAATTTATACATAAGGTTAATTGGTTTAGATGAACCAAAGTTGTAAATCATTCCTTCAATGTGGAATGATTTGCCATCATTATTTATGAATTCTTGATTATCTTGAATTGACATATCAAGAAATATTACTTTGAAAATGTCTTTAAATGTTAATGATTTTGGAACGCTATAAGATTCTTCAACAATTGAAATTAAAGAAACAGAGAATTCTCTACTATTAAACCGATTCGGAATACTAAAGTTAATTGTTTCATTAAATGGAATTTCAGGAGCTGGTATTGGTATAATTAAATTGGAGTAGTAGGATATGAAGGGTTTAGTGACTTTTTTTGTAAACGTAAGAATTCATACAATATTGAACGATTTTGTATCATTATTTTTAACATTAATTTTAAAATAATTTATTTTTTTATTCTTACATAAATGACCCAACAAGTAAAACCAGATAAAATAGATTATCGAATTTTAGAGGATGGTGTTCCTGTTTATATTCAAAGATTTAAAGGGAAGCAATATTATAGAATTCTTAATCCTGAATACATAAAACATTTATTTAAAAAGGAAGACTGTGAATTATTAAACGTTAATGAATATGAAACCAATAAATCAAAATTGAAATATAAATATATTGGAAGTGATGAAAGATGCAAAGATAAAGATAAAGTTTATACAGTTTCATATAATGAATGGAAAACCAATAAGATAAGAAAACATTTAGGAGATTATGGGAAATGTTCTGAATTCTTCAAATCTAGTATGTATGAGAGAGTAAAAGAAATTAGAAATAATTATTTTCATGAGTAAAAGAAATTAGAAATTTATGTCTTACGTTTTTGAATAAATCAAGATTTAAAAAATTTTCAAAATTGTAAGACATTTACACTCAGCCCAAACATAATGAAATAAACAAATTAAAAAAATTAACATTAATTTTAAAATAATTTATTTTTTTATCTTTTATAAAAGAATCTATATATAGATGATGTCAGATATTCCGCGATTAATTAAACATTGTTTAAATCCTGAATGGGTTAAACTTCTTACGAAAAATTAAAACTTAGTTATGTTTATTATTTTATTTTTTTATTTTGTATGAAATGAGCGTCAAAACTAACAACGTTAAAAAATTAGGATTCACAAACGAGGAAATAAAGGATATATTAGAGGAGGCGGGTTATGAGGTTGATAAATATTATTTAAGAAATTGTAAAAAATTCGCGGAGTTCTTAAATGAGTTTGATTATGATGGAAAAATGAATAAAGATGATGTTATAAATTTCTTATATCCCACATCTAAAGAAGAAAAACCTAAAGAACCTGATGTTTTCCCTGAATATTATGAAGAACGAATTAAAGATGATGATGAATATGATGAAATTGAAAGACTGGAAAAAATAAGAGATGAAATAGATGAAAAAATTAAGGAATTAAGAGAAGTTGAAAAATATAATGAGAATGAAGTAGAGGGTTTAATGAATATCCCAGCTTCAGAATCAGAAGTTCAGAAATCTCATGAAGAAAGATATAAAAATTACTTTTTGGAATCAACACAAAATTTATTAGATGGTGATATTGACGAAACACTTTCAGAAGAAGGCACAAAATTTATTCATAAACATAAGCTTCAGTTTATTGACGATGGAGATTATCCATGTATATTACTTTCACCTCCTCTTGATTCTGAAAAATTCAAAAAAGCACTGAAAAATGTAACATATGCAACAAATACGATTAAGAAAGAAGACCATGATATTTACACAAATTATTATTTAAATAAATGTACAGGTGTTGATAAAGTTTTTGATTTGTTAGATAAAATATCAAAAGAAACCATTGGAACATATAAAATTTTATGTGATTGTGGTTTCATTATTGAAGATACCAATAATGTTTCATATGAAAGAACAGCACCGAAGGAAGACGAAGTGGAAAGGTCTATACCATTCGTTATTAAGAACATAAAAGATATGAAAACTTATAAACATTATATTTATTCATTTATTTCAGAAAAAATGGAAGCAACCCATAAAACATCATCTCATCATTTTATAGCTATTCATACATTCCTTTTCAAAGTTGTGAAATTAAATAAGACAGGAATTAGATTTAATGTATCAGGGTACGCATTCTTGAGTAAATTAAAATGTATTCGTCACGTCGCAGATGATAAAAATTTATGTGTTCTTAATTCATTTTATGGACTTTAGCCCTGGACTCTCTGAGTCTCGGACTTTAAAAAAATAAACTTTATTTTTATTTATTTTTTAATTTTTATTCTTACATAAATGAATAAAAATGGAACAGCTAAAATGAATGATAATCAAATAAGAGCCGAAGGTAGAAGGTTATTTAAACGCTTCTATAACATTCCTGATGGTGTTAATCCTAAAACTCGTAGAAGTTATTTAAATGAAGCAATAGATGCATATGAAGGATTTGACATTTCATCAGAAAGTGAGAGGTTAGCAAGAATGTTAAACGTTAATATTGATTTTTATTATTGTGACCCTCAACCAGAAGACGTAGACATTAACAAGGTAGACTTTCCATTAGTGGAATCAATAATGATAGATCCAGAATTTGAAACAGTAAATATTTTATTAACACAGAGTCCATGTGGAAAACTTCACGCTGACAGAATAACAGACGTTGAAGCACTCACAGGATATAAAGTTTGCCCCTTTTGCAAAGAAGAAGTATATTCTATCCGTGATGATCCGGAAAGGAAAAACCAAAGATGAATTTTTAAACTCTATCCAAATTTAATTTTTATTCCTCTTTGACAACATCTCTCTTTCCATCATTACTGCATAACCACATTTTCTCAATTTTAGTGGTTTGTTATTTTTCACATGTTCTTGCATCATTTTTATCATTTCCTCCCTTGTTATGATTCGTGGTAAATTTTGAGCTTGTGGGGTATTCATTTATGATAAAAATAAAAATTTGTTATCACTTATTTTATCGTTAATGTTTTTAGGTTATTCAATAATTATTTATTTTTGAAGAACTGAAGGGGTCACCAGGTCACCAGGTGGTCACCAGGTAATTTAACTTCTATGAAAAAATGTGACAACATGACATTTTGACAACAGTCATGGGTTATTCAATAATTATTTATTTTTGAAGAACTGAAGGGGTCACCAGGTCACCAGGTCACCAGGTAATTTAACTTCTATGAAAAAATGAGACAACATGACATTTTGACAACATCACAGGAAATATGATGTTATCGTCAAGACTTCATCGTAAATGGTTTCGTCATGGTTTCATCGTGAATGGTTTGTCATGGTTTCATCGTAAATGTTTTGTCATGATTTCATCGTAAATGATTTTGTCAAACATAAACGTGAATGCTTTTGTCATGGTTTCATCGTGAATGATTTGTCATGGTTTCATCGTAAATGTTTTGTCATGGTTTCATCGTAAATGATTTTGTCAAACATAAACATGAATGCTTTTGTCATGGTTTCATCGTCAATGGTTTCATCGTTAATGGTTTCATCAATGCTTTCGTCAAGACTTCATCGTCAAGACTTCATCGTCAATGGTTTCATCAATGGTTTCGGGTTATTCAATAATTATTTATTTTTGAAGAACTGAAGGGGTCACCAGGTCACCAGGTGGTCACCAGGTAATTTAACTCCTATGAAAAAATGTGACAACATGACATTTTGACAACATCACAGGAGGAAGGCAAAAATAAATTCAAATCATACTTTATAAAGCTTCATTCACAGGTATTTCATCGTCAGTAAATGAATCCTCATTATCGTTTGGTTCAATTTGTTTATATAATCCTTTCATTTCTTCTTTCAAAACATAATACCATGTCTGTTTACCATCTATTTTTCTTTGTTTCCTTTCACATTTATCCTTAATGCTCATTTGAAAGTTTTTGTCTTTCATGTCTGATGGTTTGCAGAATAGAGCATTTTTACACGTCATACCTGCACATAATTCATCATAATGTGTATTTATCCATACATCTAAAGGATTTGTTGATAACTCGATTAAATCTTGTTTGGCTTCAGTCATCGGTATGATTCGTACATTAAATGATGAAAGGTCATAATTGATAAAATATGTTAAAAGGTTATCATAAAATTCCTTAGTGCATGAATCCATTAAATTCTTGAAGTAATCAAATTGACCCTTGAATTTACCATTAACCCTTAAAACTACGTATCTTCTGTCTCCAACTTCAATTTTGACAGGGTAGACGTTGTTAGTTACGAAAATAAAGTTTGCAACATTCTGAGCAGTTCTTCTGGGTTGATTCTTTTCATTAATTCTAATCTCATTATCCGTTATAATTGATTTCAAAGCGTTGAAGTTTGCGAGTCTGTCTTCACCTACATTCTTGAGTTCATTAAGTACAAGAAACATTTTATTTTCAACAACTGAGTTGAAATTACCCGTTAGCTCACTTATTTCAGTAATGTTTTTACATGAATAACCAGCGAGAAGTTCAGAAATAATGTCTGTGAATCTGTTTTTACCTGTTCCCTGAAGTCCTTTCAAAATAATTGCTGTTTCATTCTTGATTCCAGGATGTTGAATCATTGATGCAATCCAGCCGAGAAGGTATTTATACACTTCATCGTTATTATCACAAATGGCTTCTTTAATGAAATCCATAAACATCTCAATTTTTGAGTAATCAGGCTTTTCAAGAATGTTGTATTTATAACCCTGAAACGTTGAGAAAACATCGGGGGAATCAGATTTAAAGCAAACACCCTTAACAGTTAATGAAGACAATTGATTTAGTAGTACATCCCATGCTGTTATTGTTTTACCTTCTTCTTTAAATAATTTAATCATTTTAAGTGACTCTTTCATGTTTGACTGAAGAACAAATGATATTTGATTCATTTTGTCGTGTATGTTGTAATCTTTCTGAACGAAGTATTTATTTCCACAATCTACAAAACGAATTACACGTGATAAATCCTCAATTACTTCAGAACTGTTTTTATACTGATGATTTTCAGCCTTGCGTCTAATATCTGTTATCAAAAACGAGTCATCAAGTTTGATATCAAATGTTATTTTTGGCTTACGTAATAAAGGTAAAACATATTCATCATAATATTCCTTTTGATAAAGTT